AGGATAAGGAGGCCTCATAATGGATTTTTTTCGGATATAACTGCATTTCGCGTGTGTTAGCGGGCCAAAGCATATGAGGCCAGTGTATGGTCGACATAACCTTTGTGACTGCACACTTATAGGGTGCTCTTCTGAGCCGTAAGTTTGTTCTCCGTTTGTCAAGCCATTAATGCCCGAAGACGGAAAGCCGTGTGACATGAGTGTGTTTCCAAGGCAAAAGTCAGAGTCTGGCTTAGAGTTAACGACACTAACTTCATCATTATTGGAAGGACAAGTAGCGGTTGGAAGAAAACTATCAGCAATAAACATTACCGTCAGACACCGCACACATTTGGCCACTAAACCTCTGCTGGAAACCGGCTAAAACCCTATTTGCTCTACGAATAATAAAAGGAAGCTTGTTATATTTACCGAATTATCAAAGCTACCCATCATTTCTCTCCCCATCTGAAAAGTTTTTGATAAATTTTAAATTCTCTCGGTTAAATTACAGCGTGGATCTACTGTTATGTTATGTTGAGTGAATTTTCACAAAACATAAATAGCATGCAATGAACACCAGATTATGGGACTTTCGGTGGGCTGCCCTAGTTACCATCTATCTTAGAATTGCATGAAAATGCAATATCGTGAAAATCAGGGGAGGTGCACTCGAGGATGCGTTTGATAATCCTGCCTGTCCTTCGGGTGTTAAAACGGGATAAGTTATGGAGGTTTAGCCACCAGCGCTCCCTGCTAGCCAGTAAGATCAAACGTGTGGATTCTCTCTAATTCTCCTGCCAGAACCATCCGGGACGGCGACGAGCATCGAAACATCAGACGTAATCAGGCCCTGTTAGAACAGTCTTGTTTAACTCTGGTAATCAATGAGTAAACATAACCTTACACGTCTTGGTTCAGTCCAGCTCACTTGCACGTTTTTTCAGTCAGCTAATGAGTGTGAGCATAGAGTACTTTCCCACTTCTGAAATACTTAAGTTGATAGTACTGGCTCGGTGGGTTGACAGTGTTAGCTCGGATAATGCCACACCCGTTATTTGAATAGTTCACAAATACAGTCACTAAACAAGGACACCTGCGTTTATTTCAGTCATGCCAGATATCCGAAACTCACCGGAAGGCCTTAAAGACGCCAGTAAGTTTAATTATTTACTGATCTAATCCGGCAAGAAATATTTCCTGGGGCATGAAATCATTGGGGCTGTCATTGAGACGCGGGTGCCATTAGCGAACAGCTTAACAAAACATTAAATGAACAACATATTAGATGTTGTATTGTTTTCTTTAAAGAAGGGAGAAACGGGCAGACCGGCTGGAATTTCAAAAAGTCCTGAGGAGCACTTACGTTGTTAAGACATTCAAAAAACTTATTCCATCTACATTAAACCGTCTACAATTGCACACTACCTTTTTACATCTGAATTTATACATGTATGTGGACATGTCTACGTTTTAAAAATTTTTCACACGCATACGGCAAACTACTGTAACAGGCTCGTTTGATGGTTAATTTTATGCCCCTTTGGATCCATTTGAATCTTCAGTGTTCCCTTTTCTGTCGTTTATCTGATAAGCTAAATCTTAATGAATTTGTAAGTTCGGTATGTAAGAAATTGCGGTATGTTATTTGCTTGACTTCTCAACGGAGGGTCATCAATCTCTTAAGTTTGCCCCAGTTGCCAAGTTTATTTCCGCTGTTGTAAAATTGAAACCCTGGAACAGGACCGTGGAACGAGCAGTAGAACTAGAGCTTCAGTCTCTGAGTATCGACCAATATAAGCACATGTATGAGGGATCACATCTTTTGTCCAACCTGAATGATGCATTTTCCAGGCCAGACACAACTGCTATGCGGCATATCCCGCTGCCTCTTTTACAGTCCCGCAAATGGAGTTTATGAGTCAGTGATGTCAAGTGATTTCGGGTACGTGTTCAATATCATTATTAAATCTAACGCAATGACTAAGTTACCACCATCAGGTTTCTGATAGAGAAGACAACACGCGGTTACTTCTGGTGTTTCTTCATTGACTTATTGTGGTGTACGCAATAATCTCTGGGGTTAACGGCCTTTGGAATGTCGTGAAGCGCAGGTTATGTCAACAGGGGAGTTGTTGGCAGTTTCAAAATCGTATTTGCACAATGCAGACTGTAGGGCATAATGTTTGTGCAGTCTTATACATTTCGGTCTTTTATTGCTGTCGTTTCAGCTTTATCAATGAATTCTTTCAAATGCGAGAAACTTTAAAAAAAAACTATGCGGTTCAATGCATTGAGCAATTGTCTCTCGTTGTGCTGAGCAGTTCGGCTAGTATAAATTTACGTTGTTCAATTCCACAATATTTTTAGCGGTCTGAACTTCCTCGCAGCCAATGGAAATAAACAAAATTTTATTTCGCGTTGAATAGGAATTATTTAATGCAACTTCCATTTAGCACGGTGGAATATAAAGAGACTTCTTTCACGAAAGAAGGCGAAATTTCGAGATCCAGGTGTATGCCTAAGTAAAGAAGAAGAGTCGAGCACCGAACACTTCGTTTATTATCCTGAGCTTTCACACTCGTACAGGAGTCCATCGTCAGAGGTACTGGCAGAAACAGGACACGCGGCAGTTATAAGGCACGTAGGCCCAATCATCGACCGACGTCGCACGACTGGAGGTGACTACGAAGGGCTCTGTATGCTGGCGCCAGATCGATAAATCGATTGATTGAGTTCTCATCTGAGGCCCAGACTTCAATGAATTCTCGGCCTGTTTTGCTTTCGGCGTAGGCGACTATTTTGGTGGCTGCGAAGTCAAACTCGTGACCCATTTCGTCGGTGTGGGCGGCCACTTGTGATAATGCGTCGCCTCGCCGCACAGCCAGCTTATGTTCGTGTATGCGCGATCCGAGCATGCGTCCAGTCTGTTCTGTGTAGTTACAAGGACAATTTTGACACGGAATGCGATATACCACTCCAGATTGCTCTTTAGGTTTTAGCCGGTCTTTGCTTTTCATGACCCTGCTGCGCATGTTGGCTTTGGGGCGGTGTGCAATTCCAACACCTAGCTCCGCAGCAATGCGCTCGGTCGCTTCTGAAACACCCTTGATGTATGGCAGAGAATGCCATATCGTCGTTGATGTTAGAGCTATCTGGTGGCGACCGCGTAGGCAGCGACTTATGAATGCCCTCGGAAAGCCATTCTTTCTAAATAGTATAATAACCGAGACATTTCCGGACTTTAAGCATCACTCGAATCCAAACGGCCTCTTCATTCATATGCGGATCCACGATTAAAACAAACAAACACATAAAAGGGTGGACGACAAAGAATTGCCGTACAAACCATCGAAAAAGCTTAACATTTTTAACGGACTTTAAAATAAAACGTTTAATCGAACTCTTTTTTGATATACAATGTTTTTTATCTCCAAATCCGAAAATTCCACGTAAAAATCGAATATATTTTATGACAGTAAACCTTTTACGATGGGTCCCTTAAATTTTAACTTTGCTAGCCCTTTAACCAGACGCATTTACTGAAAATTAAATGTTGGTTGCGTGTTATAAGGGCAGAATAATCCTCTCCGGGTTCTGCTTCACGTACTCAGCAGTGCTTCTGTAGAAATGGGCGAATGATATACTCAAAATTGATAATGCAGGAAAAATACGCCAAATGAACACTGAAGCTTAATTCGTCCCTTACATACAGATTTATTTGTCTGATTTTCCAAACACATCTCTTTTGCGCAGATAACCGTCAGTCGTACAAATTTAATCAGATTTTGATTGGTTTCGTAATTTAAATAGTCATTTTTCGCTCAGAAAAGGCCGTCTGCCTTATAAGTTCTCTATTTTATATCATCCGTCCCGAGAAGCTCACTAGCTGAAATAGAACTGTATGTATCGGACGCTAGTACGCAACGCTACATGTCAGCTCATTCAGGTAAAACGGCGAAGACACTTGTCAACGGACTGTCAAAATGGGTTCTGGGCACTAAAAAACATGCTCGGACTAGCCTAATAAACCTATCCTATAGAACGTATTTTCCTAGACGAAGTGACTGACGGAAGAAGATCGACACAATATATTGTATTTCACTTTATACTTTGCGTTTGATTGAACACTGGATGGTGTGAGCACTATGAAGTGTTTATTCATTCTCTGTTCTGTGAGCGTTCTTGAAAAATGAGCAATCAGATTTTTACATGATTTTGTGTTGTCCAGTATTCTATTTTGCCTGAAATGTGGACACAGCCCACCACATTCTGCGTTGAGATACGTGATTCCCCGAAAAACTAGCATCACATCCCGGGAATGTAGAGAGTAACTTCGTGTATGTCAAAACGAAATGATTTTCGCCAGTGCAATAATTACGTTTCGATTATCTATTTAAGCCATGTAAGTTGCCTTTCATCACTTACCTTACAACCAAAATGCATTTTTATGTCTAACTAACAGTCATCAGTAATCGGAAATTCTGGGTGGTAAAGACGCTAGAAATAATGCTAAAATCCAATTTTGCACTTCGTTTGTCAGATCTTGGATGATTTGAAAGTTATAGAATTCAAACATTCAAGTTTAAAAATACTACTTCCATTCGCATATACTCCGTCCTCAAATCTGAATATTGTTATAAATTAAAATTTTGAATATAGCATCAACATAAACGGGAGGATCGCAGTTTAGTATGTTAAAAAGCTAATTGTCAAAAACTCCAACTTGTTTGTAGTCGGTAGCCAACCATTCCCAGATGTCGTATTCAAATAGATTATTCACCACACATTTTTGTTGAAGCCATGGGTGACGTGTTACACCGTTTACGATTTAAAACACCGGATGTCACAAATGAACGAAAAGAGGGCAGGTAATGCGTAGGTATGAATCCTCAGTGTGTGGTGCAAAAAGGCAGGAACTAAATGTTTCTATACATATATTTATGTGCAGATAAGTTACGTTAATTATTTAAGGGCAAAATATAGAAAAACAGCAACATTGCGAGACACGAAACACTCCTTTAATCACTGCTGTCGCAGCCAGTGCTTGACCTCGTAAAATGTCTCCTGAAAAACTTTGTCAGGCCGCCTTTACTGCCGGCGCCCCTCGAAGCATGGACACCACTGCCAGCTGCGGCAGCGCCGGCTGATGAGTTCGCCGCACTCGTGTAAACTGCCTGTTCTCGTCTCGCACTGACTCCCGTACGAGGCGAGGATGGGGAAGATGTGGCCGTAGAGTAGTGCAGAGGGTGGTTAAATGCTCTACGGGGCCCCAGCTTGCTTTCATCCAGTTCACAGAGGTGGGTAATGACAGTGAGAAGGAGTTCGGGTATCATGTGACCCAGGGCTGCGGAGATCTCAAGGAATTTTGCGTTGTGCGCGTTCGCGAATTGTCGGGCATCTGGAGATTTCGGAGAAAATTTTAGACGTTAAAATACAGTTAGGTAGCGTCTTTAAGTGTTTTCCTTGTTGTCTACGAGATCCCATGTATCAGTTGTGATGTCGTCTATTGTGGCAAGACCGCAAAATCTGTTTCATCCACCGCCCACACTTCGGGCTTGGGTATGGCTGGCTGACGACGGCCAATAAGCCAGAAATGGCCATTCCAGTCTCCCTTGTCTTTGTCGGTAATACTATTCTGCCTATATATCATGCGCCGCTGTGCGGCTGCTGGTTGGGCTCGAGAGCGAGAGCCCTTAAGGCACAACGGAACGAGTGAGTTCCGTATGAACGATCGGTGAGCACCCCCTATCATTGTATATTCCCGATCGAAAACCGACAGGGCAACGGGCTCGTGGCCCTATGGGTAGAGGCGTGGACTTCTCAACCAACAGGTCACGAGTCCGAGGCTCGGGTGTTCCACACTTCGGGCTTGGGTATGGCTGGCTGACGACGGCTAATAAGCCAGAAATGGCCATTCCAGTCTCCCTTGTCTTTGTCGGTAATACTATTCTGCTTATGTATATATATAAAACGACCGGTGAGCGACCTTCTGCCAATATTTCTATACATAAATGATCGTGCCTGCCCCTAAAACGGACCATACAGTTGACGATTTGGACCAACATGGAGACCACACAAGAAAACGGTATGTATTACTAGTGATAGAGGCACCTAGAAAAAGCTAAAGATCGGGTGTGTGCCGGCACTCCTAGGGGTAGGCTAATGCCATGCAAAAGAGATACACCTGGTGCCGCCTCCGGTACTCCTGAATTTTTCATGACGCCCGGCTCCGCTTGATGTAGGAGGAAGGAATGTGGACGCGAAAATCATTTTAAGCCAATTCATGCTCGATGTACTACGATATAAGCGGTAGATATTATTGAAATCATCAGCCGACCTGACATTTTTGAGTGCATCACGATTGAAACCTAATAACGCTGATTTTTAGGTCGTGGCTCATTTGACGAGATTCAGCCATACAGTTCGCAACAGTGCGAGTTAATATCTCGCAAGAAATGATAACGTGTTAGCCGCAATTTGCGTGAATCATAAATCCTCAGCTAATAAGCGCAGTCATCCGGCCTTCGTTCATTTAATTTCACTGCATTTTATTTCGTTAGATTTTGTTATCGCAGCACAGAGGCAATGTTTGACAGTTATTTATCAAACGTAGGTTTTAACAGGAAATTCATTACTGGGAAACGCTGCTTAACGCAGTTGACTTAGTTTTACCGCAAGCCCTTATGCGGAGTGTTGAATCGCGCTCCGTAGGCATATTTCATTTCAACTAACAGAAGGACTGATCATTTTACAGAGCTGCATCCTGGGCACTGGGCTTTATCGCGGGTTGTATTTTTTAAATTATCAAGAATACACAACGATTTTTCCTCCTCATCCTTTTTATGTTTCTCTGGACAAACAATTTCTCATCGTTTATTGTAAAATTTGGCAAAGATTTTGCATGACTCGTAGGAGCGCTGTACTTAATAAGCTATTGTTTTGTAAAATTGAGAGGTTTTAAAAATGACTCATACATTAGGACTTATTTAAACCAAATTTATGACATGGGAAAAGAGTCATTAATCTTTTAAAGCAAACCATAGACTGAAATTGATGTAACAAAGCGGAAAACCAGGTTACAGGCAGGCTAAGTTTCTGAAATAGGGGTGAGACCTGTAGAGACGGGATGGAACAGTTACAGTCATTGGAAAATACATATAAGAAATGAGCGGTGGAAAAAGCAAGGGACGGAAAATAATGCCTAGAAAATTCCGTTTAAGTAAAATAATAACGGATATATTAAGATAAATACCCGCAGAAGTTCAAGGATAGAAAAAACGAATTCACACACCTTGTTAAATAACAAAGTTTATATTACGAAAAACTTAAAAGAAACCCAAACTCATTTCGAATCCTTGGATGATATTCGAAAAGCCAACGGGGAAACTGGTATTAGAGTAATTTTTCACCGTGTTTGTTGAAATACAAGCCGATGAATCAGAGAACAAAGGTGATAAATAATGTTCTAAATAAAGGTAAACATTAGTGATTGCGACCTGGAGAACCGTGTTAAGGAACCATTTTTGCGTCCACCAATGTGAAACCACATCATGCATTGTGCACAGATGACGGGTCTGCGAAGCACTGACCGCAAATGGATTGCCTGAGTCCGATATGCTAGTACCATGACAAAATATATATGCACTTTACATGGTGTGTGCCTTTACACACAATCCATTATCAACATCAGCTTAGCTGGCTAAGTGACAGAATAAAAGTGAACACGATTCAAACCATAACAAGCGAGTTTTACGCGTTACTCCTTTTAAAAATTCCCTATTTGTTGGAATATACAGAAAAAGGTCATTGATAAATGGACAGGGAAAGTTCTTGATGATTTGCCAATTCAATAGTAAAAATGTCAACTTTTCTAGAAGAAAATGGTTTAATGTATAAAATAATCAAACAATGATTTTGGTTATGCGCTTGAAAGGCATGCATATCACGGAAAGCTATGACCAAAAACGTATAACACGACATTTCCAATATTTTTAGATCGTTTGGATCACAACTGTTCTTAAAACTGCCACTCCCTATCTCTTTGTCGGAATCGGACAGTGCGACAGCGAACCTAGCAGAAATATCTCTCACGATAGACCTGGAGGTTCTGGATTAACAACATTTCTTCTAAAGCAAAACTGGACAGACGTTTCCTCCTGTGCCCTTTGGTTGTACAGGAACTCTTTTCTTTGCTACTCATACGAACTTACTATGTTCGGTCGAGACAGACGTAAGGATGACATTCTGTTTTATTTTTGAACCCGCTGTTGACCTACAGTTACATATTTTTGTAGAAAACAGTATTTGGATCAGAAGGGACTAAAAAGCCACAATCATGTCAATGTCAACTGCAAGCCCTTGCCCAGAAAAACCGTTGTGCGACTAAAAATCAAGAAAACAGGGAAGAAAAATGTGCAAACGGACGACTCGGTTCTTCCCCCAACGTCTTCCGTTAAAAAGTCCTACAACGTCGTTTTGCATTCCAGATACATAAACAAGCGTTCTGCTACCGGAGCTCGTCTTCTACGGAGGAATTTGTGATTAAAACGAAAAAAATTCCTGCGGATGATATTATTAATGCAACAAAACAGCAAAGTTAGACGTCCACTGAACTTGGACATACCTTCGGAGTTCACCTCCCGGCGCCTAACAAGATCAAACTTGTTGGCAGCTAAAATGAATCCCGCTGGTGGAATTACGTTCTCGGCCATAGATTTGCAAAGTTCCAATAGAACGCGCCGGGCAAATTCATAAGTCGTCGCGTCGTCAATGGCATAGACAACAAGAAAAGCGTCCACGTAATCTTGTATTTCGATATTCTGTGGGAATGTAAACAGCGGTTTAGGGTTCCCAGTGTGACAGATACTGAGTACTGCCGAGTAAAATATATCGTGACAATAACTGCCCTGCAAAAAGTCTGGTAAACCGAATTTAAAGTTTTGAAGTGCAAACATTTCTCCTTCTGCACTCGATCATGTGCTTTGATGACGTATTTATAAGCACTAAATTGCGCATTTGGAAATCTGCTAGATTTCATGATATTGCCTTTCTGGTCCCCTGTGTGCGATCTTATTACGGTTGTCAACTGCGCAGAGATAAGATTCACCGTTGCAGTAAATTAGCTGAGCTGTCCCAGCGTAAAAATCAACACCCCACTAGAAGTTACTCCTTTAGCACCTGCATAAGTGAGAAGGAGCAAAATGTTGGTCAGCAGGTTCGCTGACATGCTAAAATATATATGTGAAAACTTCCGGAGCAAGATGAAAGCATGGTATGCATTTCCTTATTCAAAAGCACATAGGATAATAAAGAAATTTGTGATGGGTTTTCTGCCCCAGGGGCGAAAAGGCCCGGTCTGCATATTTCGCGGGGTCAAGTATGACAAGCGATGTTTCCATAAATCAAAAATAATACTGGCTAATCGTCTTAATGATTAGGCTACACGGATAAACGCCTGACCCATAGAACACAGTGGACATTTTACGGCCTGGCTAAAATGGATAACCAAGAATCGAGTAGCCAGTCGCTAAGAAGTACGAAAATGCTCCTTTAAGGTTTGCCGTCAACAAATATGTGCACCAGCTCTGGCCTCGAAATGAAACTAGTATATCACCTCCCTGGATCAGTAAATGATACCATTACCCTCCATAGTGTATTTGTGGGTTTACTGAATATAGATAGAGTAATTAGATAAAGTTGTTTGCCTGTCTAACTGGCCACAAAAATTCTATTCACTGCTAAGTGCGCGAAATTCCTTCGCTCTTTGAAACACACTTCGTAGTTTTTCTAGTTTTCGGCACTTTAAAACGATCACATTTAAAGCGGTTTAAGGCAACTGCAATGGTTGTCGGTTAAACATATAAACAAGTGCCTTAAGTTACACAAAATACGTTTTTAACTTGACGACGACATCGGTTTGATATTGCAGTGAAAATATTAAGTTGTATCTTAGGGTTACACCCAGCCCTTTTGAAACGCATGGCATTAGATCGGTTTATATTAACCTTTTGCAGCCCTTCTGAATTAATACCAAGCATAAACGGAAGTCCTTAACTCGCACGCCATTTGCTACCTTTTTTACGATTAGTTGTACGTGGAAATTTTAGATGAAAGAAACTTTGAAACAGGCTAATTTAGTCAAATTAGGTCTTTATCAACAGGCGCCTCCAAAATAATCCCCGTTTTCCCCGGTTTAGGTCACCTTTTTCACTTATAAGTGGAGGCTTGAGCGCGACTTGACATATGTACAAGCATAAAAGGAATTTCGTACTATGTCCTTTTGTGAACATAGTAGTCGGCTTAATGGCGACAGTTGCGTCGGTGCATATATGGAAACCGGAAACTGAAGTGAGGCAAGTATAACTTTGAAGTTAATGGCTGCTAATAGGCACACAGTAAAAGTCTGACAATCAGTAAAACCAACGCTTTGCTCTTCTCCGTCAGAGAAAAAACTTGCCATCTGCTTGCTGGGCAGATGATGCGGAATGTGCAAAAGAGGTCCCATCCTGAGGTTGTTTTGTAAACATCCTCAAACTATTTTAATATGGACAATTTCTAATTCAGAACGAAAAACATTCTGAACGAATTGCAAATAACAGAAAAATTCGAATTTAGGATAAGCCGCACGTGGGACTCGGGACAGCGAGGGACCAATCAAGTTCAAAAAGCGGAGGTCATACACAATTATCATATCAGGGTTGGGCTGTTTTTACAGTTAAAGCGTCAAAAGTTCCAGTGTTACGACACAACAGCATCTGAGCCCCAAACGCCTCCATTTTAGACAGAGAAGAGTCATTTCAATGTACGTATTCAGTAATCACTGCCGTCCGCATTTACTTTACATCTCGAACCATCTTCCCATTTTAATGCGTAAAGGTTATTTATGGGAAGTCCGGTGCTTCTGAGTATAAAGTAATCATTGCAGAAAGAAACTCATATGGGTTGAGCGGAAAACTAGAAAGCATTCTGCCCTTAATTTGATCTCACGTTTTTCTGACGTCGTAAGATTTTGGTTTGCAGTTTAATAAGCTTCGGAGCAATAGGCTCTACCACTAACGATATTAATACAATTGATTAAATGTAATATGAATTTATAAGAATCTGTGACAAGAGCTCGATTTATAACCGGTTTTATTAAATTCGGGAAGCAATTTTGCTAAGGAAGATAACTGTCGCTATATATTTGTGCTTGCTAGAGGAAGAGGTAAAAAGCCGTCCTATTGGTTACTACTTAAGTGTGGTCATAGAGATTTACGATAGATATCGGAGTAAAAATACAACAATTTAATGATAGCAAAGGACAAATAATTGCACTTATCAGTATTACTAAATGGTGAAAATAGTGTCCATTTTAATTGGAGACAGTCTGGAGGACCAAACTTTTAATATTACAAAGTTTACCGAAGTTCAGCCTTCTTTTTCAATAAACATACTCCCCGTAGTAAGATGCTCCGGTCATAGACCAAACCTTTGCCTAATCTTTTCTGGCATCTTTTCTATAATTACTTAAAATGTGCTTGCCCTCATTTCCGTTAATCACTTTATAAAGGGGGACTTTAAACCAATAGATTTGTGTCTGTGTATATTTCTACTGAGGTCAGTTTACTTTTTCTTTCTCTCTTCCTCGTTGGCCTTCATTTGCATCGTCATTATTTCAGAAACAAACGGCTAAGTATAAAGACTGCACCACTTTTATGCAAACATTTGCAAGTTTCCGGGGTACGACTTTTAAAACAACGTCAATAGCATCACTCCCTTATCCAACTTACTATACTTTCTCACGTGTAAATTAAATATTGTCACACACATTATTTTCGAGATTTACTCCATTGTTTTTAACATTCCCACAATGCTTGACAAGGTGGCTTAAAAACGATGATCAATGTTATAATCAAGTTTGCGCAGTGAGCTAACGAAGACAAAGTGAAGCGTTGACTGAAAACAAATTAGTCACCTAATAGGATAACTCTGCTATCTGCGTCAACCGAGGTTTAGGAAACCTATTTACAAATGAATCAGAAAATCTTCAATAAGGGGTGCTCATTATCAGCACTTTATGTCTGTCTTATTTTAAAGTACGCCAGTTGATTACTTTAAAATATTATTTTTGCTCTTACGCTTTTGTATCTGATTTACATGGGAAAAAAATTAATTTTTAAGATCGACAAGTTCTGCTTAGTAAGTTACCGAGTTTAGATTACTCCCTTCACCCCAAAAGACATGCATGATTGAGATAACTTGGCCTGTCATAGTTATGAGCACAGTCTTGTGCCGGAATGAAAGGTAACATAGATTTACGCAAATTCTGAAAGCAATTTGACTGATACAATTATTTGTTAACATATTCTATGTGCAGACCGGCAATTTTCGCAAGAGCTTGGATAAATAAATAAAAGAAAAACTTTTGGGCGGGGAAACTTGGTCGTCCTAATTTTCTTCATTAGGTTTCATGCGTTAGGCCACATAATGCAAACAAAAGGCTAAGCAAAGACCTACGTTATGCATACATCAGGTCACCTAAGAAGAACTATCTTTCGACCCCATTTACATTTATATGAGTTAAAAAGCACGTTTAACGATCTCATTTAAAAGTATTAGGACAAACTAAGGTTTACTTGCCATCGAATCCGTTTCGTCATATAGATTGGTCTCAGCAAAGCATACATTGAATTCATTTCCTTTAAGCATTGCTCTTATTGAAAAGTTTTGCACATCTTCGTCTGTGTCGTCTCCTGCATCTGAAGTAAAAACAAAAACTGATAATAAAATCTAAATAAGAGAGTAGCAGAGCGAGACAGAAAAAATTTATGTATTAAATTGTTGCCATGGTGCTACCTCTCTAGAATTTGATGCTCTGCATAAAACGCTAAAACAATAGATAGGTCGAGCTCAATTTTCTGTCATGATCATGATTATTACCTTTAGGATTTTGTCGGACAGAACAATTATTTTGCCCATTAATGACAAACAGTCCACAGTATGTTGGCCTAACTTTCTCTTACAGATATGCCGATAAACGCGTATGCGATGTGTGGCTTAGATTCCGTCTACTACGTTCAACAATTCTGCAGGATGTTTGGGCTGGAATACGGACGATACGATCAGCGTATTGAGCTTAATACATAGCACAATGTCACGCCGGTGGAATTATTTTGTCATTTGTCATGACTTGTATGCTAATGCGTGCAGCGATTCTACTCAGCAAATAGTGTTACCAACGAAAACTCATGCCACCCTGGTATTCGTTACGATGGAAATACAAATTGTGAATATCCGCGGAGAATATTGCGTTCTCGTAACGAAAGTTGCATCAGTCATGGTATTTCTATACGACACAGAGCGCAAAGATGAGTTATCGGTCACTGGAAGGGCGGTTTAATTCCTCTGTCCCTGAAGTGGACAGAGAGGATCGCCGCAGCCTTATGAGTTGGTGCAGCAAAATAAGGTAAATGAAACGTCAGGTCTAATGTGGATAAAGTGTCGCTCTACAGGACTTCGTGTACGAACACGGCTGCACAACTCGAACCAGTGCTGTGCAAATACAGGCATTTAAGAATAATGCAGATAGTAAGCATTACGAGGCGATAGAATTAAAGGAGAAGGCTGGTCGAAAATAGAGGTATACTCGAGAATTTTCAAGTCGGCTACACCAACCCGTCGTCAGACGAAAATGAAAAGTGTGAGGGAGATAATCCTACTGGGGACCTATGGGGACATCGACAAGACAGACGCTTATGTGTGGGGGTGAAGAACGTGTTTGGATAGGTGGCGGACGTTAGGGGAGGTGCTGGGGGTTTCACACATGGTTTACTCTGTGGGGGAGGTGCTGAATCCGCGATATTCTACATGGCCGAACATGGATTAGCAGTTGGTGTCTTCGGGTGGGCGCAAGCCGGCGAACCGTGAACGTAAGCCTTCGTAGCAAGCGTCCAAGTCGACATGGCGGTTGATGCTATTGTTATTAGAGTTCCAAGCTTCTAGAAACTCTCGCGCTTGTTTGATGTTGGCACTAGCGATCACTTCGGTCCCCTCCCAGTTGACGCGGTGATGACATTCAAGGGAGTGCGCAAACACGAGAGACAAGGGGTCTCGTCGGCGGATGGCCAACTTATGTTCGTTAATGCGGGTCCCAAGTCGTCGGCCGGTATGCCCAACATAAACGCTAGAGCAGTTTGCACATGGAATGCGGTAAATGACATTTGTTTGCTGCTCCTTCGGTATAGGGTCTTTTACCCGGGATAATGTCGTGCGCAATGAAGACGCCGGTTTGTGGGCGATGGAGGTGCCGAATTGATTTAATTGTCGAGCGATCGCTTCGGAAATTCTCGGCATGTAGGGCAGGGAATAGAATTTCCGTGATACCCTGTCTCCATTAGAGTCGACGTTTTGTGGTTGTTGCTGGCGTCTGAGACAATTTTTCACAAAGCTCACCGGGTATCCGTTCAGTCGAAAAAGCGATACAAGTGGGCCAGTTCTTTTTTGAGTAAATCAGTGCTACTGCTGTAACGATAGGCCCTGTGGAAAAGGGTCCGAACACAGCTTCTTTTATGGGCTGCTGAGTGGTTACTCTGATAGCTCGGGATGATCTCAGCGTCAGAGCTTTTCCGATGAACGCTTGTTGCGATGCCCCCATCACTGAGCTTTTGTATGCTCACGCCTAGGAACGGGAGATTGCCTCCTTTTGCTTCTTCACGAGTGAATTGTAGCGCTGGGAAGGCGCCATTCAAGCTCTGGTGAAATCGCTCAACTTCGCAAATCTTAACGATGACAATTGTGTCATCTACGTATCTGAGCCACGTTTTTGGTTGGAAACTTTGTACAACATCTTGTTCTAGTCGTTGTAAGACTAGTTCTGCAAGGAGCCCCGAAATTGCCGAACCCATTGGGGTGCCCTTGACCTGTTGGTAGTATTTGCCATCGAATTGAAAATAGTTATTGGGGCAGAGCTTAAGCAATTCTACAACGTGGTGTGTTGGAAGGTCGATGGGATTGTCTCGTGGGCGTTGGGACACGCTCTCAATGGCAAGGTCATGTGGTATTAAGGAAAACAATGCGGTAACATCAAAGGATAGAATACTTTCATCAGGAATTACTTTAAGACCTTCAATCCTTTGAAGGAATGCCTGAGAATTGGTGATGCTGTGTTGTGATCCAACAGCGAGGTGCTTCAGATACCTGGAAAGCCATTTGGCTAGGTTGTAAGTGGGCGATCCGATGAGTGGCACTAGTATCCTCAATGTTGCATCTGGTTTGTGCACTTTTGGAAGGCCATATGCATGTGCGATACGAGGGTCATTGAGAGTCATGAATTTACAGTCATTTGGATTAATCAGCTTCAGTCGAGCGAGTTCATTCACCTTCTTCTTTATAACCGCGGTCTGCCTCTTCGTTGGGTCCTCAGCGAGTGGTGCGTAAGCTTCCCTGTCACTAAAGACAGTGTCTGCTTTTCGAACGTAATCAACCTTGTCCATGATTACGGTTGCGCCTCCTTTGTCACAATTCTCACAGAGACAGGCGGCGACATCCGAGCAACTGACTTTCCTTCACCGCTGTCGCGATCATGGCATCCTACCGAAAACTCTTCGCTTCAAGCTCGCTCTACCATGTTCGGCCATGTAGAATATCGCGGATTCAGCACCTCCCCCACAGAGTAAACCATGTGTGAAACCCCCAGCACCTCCCCTAACGTCCGCCACCTATCCAAACACGTTCTTCACCCCCACACATAAGCGTCTGTCTTGTCGATGTCCCCATAGGTCCCCAGTAGGATTATCTCCCTCACACTTTTCATTTTCGTCTGACGACGGGTTGGTGTAGCCGTATTGAAAATTCACGAGTATACCTCTATTTCCGTCAGTCATTTATCTCTAATGGTTACGCACGTCTCAAATGTTATTCTAATTTTTTCCGCTGGGCAGTTTGACAGGTATACTGACATCTGTAACCATAATTTCTTGAAGCATCGATACAATTACCACAATTGTACAAGCTTCTAGAGCATATGTTTGATTATCTGTGGAACTTAACAGGAGAAACTCTAAAATACTGTTCATTTTTAATGACTACCATGCGCTTCATGGTGGGCTTCGCACCTGTCCAATGCCTGCCCAATTAAATGCCCCATCTTCTTAATTCAAAATCGTTCCGTTCTTCCCATTCCACTCATTGCTCAGCGTCCTCAAATAATACTTCAATTAAAACATCTGTTCTGAAAGATAGTCTTAAATCGGATGGCATCACAGTCGGCTTCAAGAAGTTTCCCAATTAGTGACAGCGAAAATGCAAAATTACCTCTTTAAACCACATTTGATAACCCCTCAGTAGAGTTCTCTAAAATCAAACTATAACCTAACGTACAAAGCAAATGGATATTTGATTTATGACACGTATAAAAAGTGTTTTTAAGTATCCTATAGCAAAAACGATAACGCTGCCATTATCAGTAAAACCTGCTTGTCATTAGCTCACCTAACAATGCGTTCCCTGTCGCGGAGTGCTCAGATATTAAGGAGTAATCTAAATGTCACTGTATGTAGTTCTTTGGCCTTACAACCGAATAAGCATAATTATTCATGAAAATGTGACTACTAATGATTTACTGTTTTTGCGTAAAGCAGCCGAAAATGTAAGATTCAGAATTAACGGCTTAATTTTACTCTCCCTAAGTTTGCTTTTGAGAGTTATTTGCACAGCGGCAGTCGAAGAAATGATTTACAAACCCACGTTTTCATGGGAAACGTATTGTGTAACATTAAGTTGTACATATCGTCCATGTCAGTCTCGGCTTTGCTTCTGTTTGGAATCATTCCAATTGTAAATAAGTATTTCGGAAGATTCATAATAACCTCTTTTGCCCAAACTTTTAAAAACTCAGCGATCTCGGTGTCCTTTGGACAAATGACCGTGAGCGGTAGATAGCCATCTGGTGGATAGTACATGGATAAATTAAGGAATTGTGCTTAGGCAGTCAACTTCCAGTATCAACATTAGTGGACCCGATACGTTGCAGTAGGCTGGCCGGTTGACTTTACATAATCCGATTAAACTCAAGTGGCTAGAGCGAAGGCCCTACTAAAGATTTCCCCTCTGCGTAACGGGTTCGTATCTCATCGAGGTTGCCGAATGCTTCACAGGTGACTGGAAATAATTTCCAGTAATACACATTTTGTAGTGAGCCAGATGCAGAAGAGCAGAACCGTTGTTGCACTTTTCAGGGTTTTTACTCAGTTAACTTCCTTCCGCTCAACTGACGCACACGCATATATAAATTAAAACCGCTCGGCATACTCGATGTATAACTTTAAAAAATTGCTACTTTCTTACAAGCAGGTTCGCACAACAGCATCACATCGTGATATGAATTGTTGGATTTAAACTGACCATCGGAGGAAAATTAACCATTAATCAAAGCATGTTTTTAGCCATCCTCTAAAAGTTTTCTTGTTCACTAATTCTCTACGAATGCATTTATTCCCACATTCACATAAGCAGGATAAATCATCTTCATTTGACCTTAGTGTTAGGCACTTCGACATAATGTATCACTAACCAGCAGGTGTTTGACTACGTTTGATCTCAGCAGGAGTATGCCCGCTGTTGTTTCCATTTTCACTGCAAAATATTGTTACCTACTGTTTATGGTATGTTTGTATCGGATAACAGACCTTAATAAATGGACGAGACTAGTTCTTTACCCTTAAATAAATTTTCGAAACATTTGCAGAATATTTTTAACGGTGGAAATAATCTATGTGCCTGAGGGTGCTAAGTAGCTCTGGGTATTTTTGTTCCTTTTTCCTCGACAAAGTTAAGTCTCACAATAACTTGGAAAAAGCATCGGGGTGGTCTATTACATGCTTGATTTTAAAAACTCCAGTAAGTAGATCACTTGTGCATGCCGCGAATTCGTTTGAGGAATCGTAGATTTACGGGTCATTTATCAATATAGGACATTCGAATGAATAGGGTTGTTTTGTACTAATAGCAACCTTAGAAATACCCTTATGTTTGCCACTTTGGTCGTATTGTGATTTTTCTGCGTTTAAGAACCCTTCTCTTTACAAAAATCACGATAGAATGGTCGATTAGACACAAAGTACTTATAACTATAAATGAAAATACAAGTGTTATATCGCTATGTTTCGTAAATGTATGCAGTACCACCATTACCCTAAGGATCAGTCAACTAATTTTCTGAGAGTCAATTATAGTAAATAATAAGATGGGAATATTTCGGAAAACAATCCGGTCCATCCTTTATTGGGCGGCTTCAGATAGTCACAACAGCTTGTGGGGTCATGTTTGCTCATAAAATAGGTAAATTCCATTTTTCTACGCTGCATGCGATATGAATAACATGTTATTTGAGTTTTGCATTTACAAAAAGTATTTTTCTGCTTGATGCATTGAAGAATCCTTATCGTTATTCTACAAAGAAAACGAAGGAACTACCTACAACAGGCCTTTTCTTTTAGAACGAGTGCACTAGAGATGACTTCTATAACGACTAGGTACATGAGTCAGCAAAATTGCAAATACTATCGGAATCATAAATTGGAACGAAAACGGTTGGCTGCTCTACCCTCCTCAGCCTTGTGGCAAGTTTATACCGTGATGTTCGCAAGTACATTTAGCTCCTCCGAAACAAACTGGAAACATATAATTTTGTCTGCACCTCACCCATACAAATTGATATTTTGGCAATATCGGAACTGCCTCTTAAGCGGATATTGTCCTGCGGAAGAACGCTAACATCTGTTGGTTAGACAGGGGAGTGCGTATACGTCGCCGTGTCGCAAGTGATCGTGCGCTTAGTTCCCGGGTGTGTCTACTACCATGTTATAACCTTATTCTCCCCGGAAGTTAACGAAAGACAACCCGTAATATGGGGTTGAGTGCATATTTCCGAGTCCTGCTTCGTACTCGAGCAGCTATAGTTGATCGATCCCCGACGACGACTGGTCTTCGCTTGATGCAACCTAAGCGGGGGTACATCTTCCCATGTTTTGTGGATGTATCTTGTATACTCGCTGCATAGGTACTAGTGCAGGTACTGCCAGAATTGAGTGAGGTGGCCGTATAGGGTGGCGATACGCGCGCTTGTCCTGACATTATGGCAAATGAATGAAAATTTACACACTACTGAACCTAGAAAGGACTCGCCCAGAAACTTGTACCCAGAAAAACATATATATTTATCTATTTATCTACCTATATTTATCTATAATTAAAACTAGTGACCGCAATATCATTGACAAAATAGTAAAAGTTAATTCTTCTTACCAAAGTCGGAATCCTCCTTATTTAAATTTGTGAGACATTGGCAAATTGTAGTTTTTCCAACGCCTGGTGATCCGACTACCTGTACCTTGAATTCAACCAGGTCGGGATCGTCGGCAGCCAGAGCTTCCTGTGAGATTGCAGCACCTAGAGGCGACTCTGTGCACAGCGGTAGTGGAGGCAGTACCTGTGGAGTGAGAGATCGTCGGTTCGGGGAGTTAGGCGTCATTATGCTCCTTGCAAGACTGGTGGAGGAACTATGCCTTAATGCCAGTGGTTCCTTCTCTGTTGACCTTTGTCTTCGTATGGGGGGAATTTCACCTGCGAAAAAGTCGTTCGGATGGAGGCTACAATCCTGAGTATAAGCCCGCTGGTAATTGTAGGGTGGAATTCGCCTGCCCTCCTGTTGGAGGTTTCTCCCCTCCCCACCCGTGGGTGAAACGTTTGCTCCCTCGTTTGCCTTTGTCGGGGGCAGGACGGACTGACAACGCAGCTTCTTCAGCCGCTGGCGTCGGGCCTTTGTTTCGTTGATATCCAAATTGGTGACTGGTGTAGAGCACTCCGAAAGGAACTTGCTGGAGGAAGCACCGGACATGCTGCAAAAGTAGTCAAATTCGTCTAGTAGGCTGAGAGTTGGCGTCACCTCCTGAGGTGGGTTTTCAATCTCGCAGACGGTCACTGCTACGGGCAGCTGACGCAGAGGTCGATTTGAGGGACTGTGATTATATGAGGTGTGTGCGTAAGTCGGCTGGTATGAATCGTCGTGAGGGCTGTTCGCTGATCGAGGCAGCTCGTGGTTGAGAGAACGAGACTGGTGCCGAAGACTACCACGAACGTTACGATAAGGTGAGAGAGCAGCTGTCTGGGCAGTTTCGGACGCATCTGAGGGGTTGAGAAAGTTATGTCCCGAGGAAACACGTTGCCATGTTGGCGAGGGGTCGTAGTCGCGTTGCATGATAAATTGCTTCCTGCGAGGAAAACTATGTCCCGTGATACGGCTTTTGCAGGTCGGTGGAAGATCGGACTGCCTTGATGCAGCCTGCTGAGGAGTTGAATGCAAATGGTGTGTCTGGTTAAGAGCAGGAAGTCTGTCTTGAGTAAGCAGATTTTACAACGTTCTTGAAGGAGTCCAATGCTAGGATTATTTTGAAGCAAATGGAGCCTGCCCGAAAGTTAACCTGTTTGTACTGGTCTTTTCAAAGCTTGTCTAATGACTTGCTGGGTTCGGGCAGCACCTCGTCCAGAACATTCAGCCATAAAGGTCGTAAAAAGCGGCGGATTATAAGTAAAGGTTTGAGTGTGGGAGTTGTTCGAATTTAAAATGCCGTTGAGTCATTAAGTTAAAAGGAAGCAACTCAAAAATTCCTATGGGAAAGCATTTCTGACGAATGAAACAACGGCACAGAGACCAATCGGATTAACGGGAACAAAACGGACAACCAATCGCAATAAATCAGGCTTTGCTGAGAACATTTCTGCCAAAAGCAGAGGAAACATTATGGATTTCAGCTATGCTCTGGATAGTATAAAGCAAAAAATACATATGTTGAAAGAGAGGCAATGCGTTATTGCATAAAAATTGCGTATATTTGTCGTGCCGGAGATTGTAAGAACTTCAAAACACAGTTCGATTATTCTTTCCCAACAGAACGAATGCTGTGACCGGTTCTAACACTCGGAAAGAAGATACCGTTTAAAGCATTTGCTGATCATCAGCCGAAGAGTATAGAGGTTTTTAATTTTCTTTGCCTCTCCCAGAAATGGTAGTCCTATGCATTTTTAAGACAGTCATTAATATTTTGCACGAAAATCGGTTTTCAATTTTTTAATGTTCGCCTTAAAATTTTAACTGCTAAGCCTCCCTTAATTAACCAGCAGTGACTGCGGTATGTCATTTATTCCAGTCAAACCGAACATTGCGACCTTCATGCTCACCAAAATTGTGTATGAGAATTCATTTAAGACCTACGGCTTCAACGTCATACTGACGGAATAAGGTTTAGCATGTGCAAATGTCCTTTTCATATTGGGGGAAACAAAGGAAAAAATTGCCTAAATGTTAGGACAAAGCCCCAGGCACATGTACTTCTTTACTGTCTGGGTGGCGTTTTATTCTGCAATATCCGTTTTCCGAGTAGATCGCGTTTTTCATCATTTATTTTCTACCTAAATATTACGATCCACAAAATAGAAGCTACTAGTTACCGGTAAGTAAAACGTACTGCTTTCAAGAATTGGACATTAAGAGTGAACATAGGAGAGCACCCGATACTCTTCTGCAAAGTCGAATGGGTAGTTTAAAATCGTTGTTTATAAATTTGGGGAAGCCAAAATAAGCAACGCTTCTGGAAAAAAGCGCGTATCTACTTTAAGCGGATTCGACCTACACTTAAAAGGTATATGCATTAATATAAAATATAAAAAGATGGGGTTTGATATAGGCTTTGGGTTCGATGTTCAATTATAGTAGGAATTTATGCGAGTTGGCCTAATGTTTATATATGAAACACGATAGGAGTAAAATAGGCTTTTGAAGGCCAATAAAACACGGAGGATGAGTAGACGACTGAGTACATTTGTTGTATCTGATAAATAATTACATGAAATATCTTCACCAATAGAAACGGACATGCGGGTTCCAGAATGCAGATCAGAAGAAAAAGGTTGGATTGATGAAACAAGAAGTTTAATGGTACGTCGTTCGAGATTCCCACTCAAATTGGTCACCAGGAAGTGGCGACACAGGAAATACAGGGGAAGAGAATATAACGATTTCTTCAGCTAGCAGAAAGTAAAGGTTTTGGAACCTACCGTGACGAGAACATCATCAGCATGACCTGCCAATCAATTATGAGTTGGAATTACACTTGTGTCCAAAATGAACTGCGAGCACTACAAGATTACTATATTTTTACTGAGAACTTTGAGTATTATATGATGATGGTAGTATTATTATTTCGTGTTATTTAGTGCAGTTATTACTTGCCGGTGGTTGACTGAGAAATTAAAAAAATTGCACGACATATGCCCACACTTTCGTCGAATAATTTTTATCTTTAGTAGAGGTGTTCAGGAGTAAAATATAAACTCCAAAAAACATTCACTTCGAGTTTGGCATCTCGGTTTGCATATAACCATTAAAAAACGATCACTTTTTCTGTATATTAGCGTATTTTATTGAGCAAGCTTTCGCGCAAAATTATCCTTGCTAGGGTAAGTCGCAATGCTGACCATTGTTTGTCGAACATGAACGCTAGCACTTGTTTATTGGAGTCGTCATAGAAGCACAAAGGGCAAGATCTTTGGCTTATCGGGACAAAAAATATTAGTATTTGTAGATATTATCCTTGAGTCACAATGAAATCTAATTTGTTGCTCAAATCACAGATCCATCAGCCATATTAGAGATCTTAGCTTCATGAACCCTTGTTCGGAAAACAATTAGTCCGCTTTGCTTGGAGGTCCGTTTGCGTCCACAATAGCACCGGCCAGTCATTTGTTAAAAGTTCGGGCTGCTGTTAATAAATCGTGAAACGCTTCACGAAGAAATTTATTCCAGGCTGTTGTATCGGGTCTTATTAACGTCTGTCTACTGCTTTGCTTGGTTCTATGGGGTAAGACACATATATCAAACAACCAGGTGTTTATCCGAAGATCTAGGTGAACGCTGTTCTCGTTGGTTTGTCAGTGCGAAACGATGCCTACCTCGAGCACTAACCTAGTTCACTGCTCTCTTTCGAAAACAGGCTGCGTTGATCATGGTAGACATCCGTCCGTGTGGCAAAAACCAACCCGGTTTAGCACAGGTTTTCACCCCTGTTTCGTTTTTAGTGGCTCGTAACACTATGCTATCGTGCAGTCCTCTCATGATCTGCATTAATTGTTACTGACGTCCGAACTTCAGTAGGGCATTCCTCAGTCCATCCTGCCCTTCTTAGTCGAAGATATTCGTTAAACCCACGAAGATGGTGCAGGGGTCGATTTCCAGCTCTCTGCAATATATTTTGCACCTACTGTGCCGCAATGGCGGTATCCGTGACTCCACCGTTATCGACCGATAAAGGTCACGAAGTCCACCGTTGCGTCATGAAGGGTGTTCAACAGTGGTGGCTTGCACGTCTGTTTTTTTATGGTGAAGCAGACTTGTGCAGAATCGATCGCAATCCCGCATAAACCCTGTTCTGGTGAAAAACAGTGTTGGGGCCATTGAGGATGGGCGTGGACTCAGTGACTGGCAAAGCTAAACAGCCGGTTGACTTGTGTGGCGCGTGACCTGGTCCCCGAGGACGGAGCCTCGGATCTCACACATGTAAGTGACCTCAAAAGACTATACTACGAAGGAACACTTACGGCCTGACTCTCAATCCTGATGTAGGTTCTTTAACCCGTCTGCTAGCAGCTTTTCAAGTCCAGAAAATTAGCGGTACCTTGTGGTTAAAGCGAATAAGTCTGAACTTCAACGCTTAATTTGCGTTGTATTAATTTAAGTTACTCTGTCGTCACCTATGCCTCAGTAGATTGTATAGTCAAGGAGATTTACACCATGATTCGGAGTAGTGATTGACGTAGTGTCAACGTTCTGTTCAACTCTTCCCACACAACCACATGTCACTCACACAAATTAACCACACTTCAGCCAGAGACATATCTCACATGTAGGAGATGCACGCATTCACATGTGCGATGTGCTGCGCATTATAAAAACACTGGCAAAATGCATCGCTTGATTGACATACTATTGGAGGGGTGCCAGCAACTGTATGAGTGTGGGTCATTACTGCTTTTAGCAACCTCTGCATGTATGCCGACCTTACGGTGCGTGAGGTCAAGACGACAGCACCGTACCAGTATTGGTTTGTGTTTAGAAGAACTCCAAGGCGATTCCGGATCCTATCGAAGGCTTGAATGATTCTGGATAATTAATGGGATAACTCGTCCTTCACTTCCCGGTCCCTAAAACTGTACTCTTCAGGTACATAATTTTGAAAACTGCTGCGCTGTGATTTTCATTGGAATTTGCTCATGCATTTCTCACTTGAGGCCGGTTGCCAGGTAACTTCTGGGATTTCCCTTTGATTGGTCAGTCACAAAGTTTTAAAAACGAACGAAAGGGTTTCAATTTCCGTTGTATGTTCTCTTTCGCTGAAGCATATATCAAAACAGCTAGCCACTACAAGTAAGCAGTTCTCCTGCATGCCTTAGCACCTTCTTGTCGGCAACAATTATTTCTCCCTCCCTTAGTGGCAGTGCGTTTCAAATTGAATGGTCTTTTGGCAAAATGCGGGGGCTTATTAATTACAGTGTATTTTGCGTTCTCAACACACGCACCAGCCATTAAGCTGTTGAGTCCTAATGAATGCCTTCTAGCGTCAATCATTTACTGCTGTTCATTAGTCATTCTTGTCTCACTAAAAAATAAACTCCTGCTTTAAAATGTTTCTCGCACGCTTTCATATGCACCCAATGTCTCTTATATATTTTTTGTCGAAAAAACAGCACGACGGTATTCTACATTTGTCAGAACACCCGTAAATCAAATTTTCGGCGAAACTGTCCATCTAATTCTTTATTTACTGATTGCTGTGAGGTTAGTTAGCCCGACTACGCGCGGCGTTCGATAAATTTCCTGACGTAAGCCAATGTAATGCAAATAATTTATATTATTATCGGCAATGTATCGACGTGTAATGAGACGGAAATCCGGAAACTAAGAATAAACGTGTCCACATAATAGTCTTGTCCTTTTACGCGGACTTTTTATTCCTGTCTCTACACTCGGACATGTAGCTTCTGTTCATTTGGGTCGCACATCACCTTGTACTAATACTATAGATATTCGTTTTAAAAACTACGTTTTTTCTTTATCTTTTAACCTACAAATCTTAAGAGAGTTCGCAAAAGCGTCACCATAGTCAAACATAGAAAGTGAGAATTGGGTTGTCTGTCGAAAATTGG